CGTTTGCCCATCTGATTGGGGGTGGAAACTCGTAGAGAAGCTGAGATCCGTCCCCATCTTCTTGAAAAGCCCCGTCCAAAATCTACCTGTGAAACGCGGGTCTCTATCACTGATAATCTTCTACGGAATTCCCCAAAGCTTGACCACATGGTCAACAAACAACTCTACTGTGCAGTCTGCTGGTGCGGGTATGAAGGTGGCATATTTGTTGAACCGATCTACCACCACTATAATGCTCCCACAACCTTCTGACTTGGGCAAACAAGTAATGAAATCCATAGAGACACTTTCCCATGATCTCTCTGGAATAGGCAATGGCTCCAGTAGGCCTGCAGGATGCTGTTACTTAATCTTGTCTTGTTGGCATACAAGACAAGTCTTCACATATGTCTCCATATCATCACGCATCCGAGGCCAATAATATGAATCTTCAAAGAGTGCTAGTGTGCGTCGCATACCTGGGTGACCAGCCCATTTGGTGTCGTGGCACTCCCGTATCAACTCCTTTCACAAGTTACCCCATCTGGGCCCAAAAAGTCGATCCCCTGTAGTGAGAAGTAAATCATCCCTTAGCCAAAAGCGCCAAGTTTTCCCTTCCTTAGCCAGCTGAATAAGGCTTTTGGCTAGAGGGTTATACTGTAACCCCTCCTTGATCCGCTCCACAAGAGGGTGCTGGGGCCGACTAATAGCTGCGAGCTCGGTCTTGTGACTAAGCGCATCCGCCACAACATTGGCCTTGCGCGGTTAGTATTCAAAATGATAAGTGAACTCTACTAGGAAGTCCTGCCATCGAGCTTGCTTGGGGCTAAGCTTCTTCTGTGTCTGGCAGTAGCTGGTGGCAACATTATCCGTCTTGATCACAAATTGTGCCCCGAGTAAGTAGTGCCTCAAAGTACGTAAACAATGGATAACCGACGTCATCTCTTTCTCCTGCACCGTATAGCGCCGCTCAGTGTCATTGAGTTTGCGGCTCTCGTAGGCTATGGGGTGCTCTTCCTGCTTCAACACACCCCTAATAGCAAAGTCTGATGCATTCGTGTGCACCTCATATGGCTTAGAGTGGTCGGGCAAGCTAAGTACGGGCTCCTCCGTGACTGCCCACGTCAAGTCATCAAATGCCCTCTGGTATGACTCTGTCTAACTCTAAGCACGCGCCTTCTTGAGAAGGTCTATTAATGGGGCTGCTCTTGCCGAGTAACCCTTGATAAAACGACGTAGTAGTTGACAAGCCCAAGAAATGAACGTAGCTCTGTCACCTTTGTGGGCGGCTCCCACTCTTGAATGGCCCTCACCTTTGCCTCATCCATCATTAGTTTGCCATCCCGTATCTTATACCCTAGGAACAACACCTCCTCTTGGGCAAATGAGCATTTCTCCATCTTCACATATAGGTCATTCTCCCATAGGACTTGGAAGACCTCCCTCAAGTACTACACGTGCTCTTCTAGAGTGGTGCTATACACAACAATATCATCCAAGTACACCACCACAAAGTGATCCAAGTAGGGATGAAAGAGCTTGTTCATCAAAGTACTGAAAGTAGCAGGTGCATTGGTGAGGCCAAATGGCATAACAAGAAACTCATAAGAGCCATACCTTATCAGACATATAGTCTTAGGCTCATCCCCGTCCGCTATCCGCACCTGGTAGTACCCTGAGTGCAAGTCTAGCTTAGTGAAGTAGCGTGCTCCACCAAGCTGATCAAAAAGATCGGCAATGAGAGGAATAGGGTACTTGTTTTTTATAGTCACTTTGTTTAGCGCCCGGTAGTCGATGCACATTCGCAAGGACCCATCTTTCTTCTTCTGGAATAACACCGGTGCGCCAAATAAGGCCTTTGAGGGTCGAATGTAGCCCGCATCTAATAGCTCCTTGAGTTGCCTCCGTAACTCCTCCAACTCTGGGGGTGCCATCCGGTAGGGCACCAAAGCAGGGGGTTTAGAACCCGGTTCCAGCTCAATCTTATGATCCACCTCCCTCCTAGGTGGAAGCTTCTTGGGTAGCTCCTTAGGCATTATATCCGTGTACAGATCTAACACGACTCGGATCTCCTTAGGCACCTCTTCTTGTGGGGAAGAGACTAGCTCATCATCATGCGTCTCCATCAACGTAGCAAGATAGCTAATCTGCCCCTTCCTGAAGCCCTTCTTGAACTGTATAGCTGACAAGGCTTGGGCTTCCAACTTGGCGCTTCGCTCTACCGGCACCATACATGTTGTGCTGCCTTCCATGATACACATAATGTTGGCAAAGGGAATGGGGAAGGCTCTTACCTTGTCTAAGAACTCCAACCCAAGGACTAGTTTAAAGTCATCCATGGGTACCACCGATAGGTCCATGTAGCCACCCCACTCACCAATGTATGCTTTGACGCCATGTGCTAGGCCATGTATAACCTTTGCCGCCGAGTTAACTGCCTTCATGGAGCCCCCTTCTTTACTATACTTGAGGCCTAACCTCTTGGCCTCGTCAATACTCTCAAAGTTGTGGGACGCACTCGTGTCCACCAAAGCACGTGTGGGTATCCCATTGATGCTCGCCTCCATGAACATTAGCCCCTTAGCCGCCGCCTTAGGGACTTCAGTTTTAGCCTTGAACCCATCTGCGCCTCCTGTTGTTGTCGTTGCTCCTCATAGTGGCTTATCATGGCATTGAGGGTCTTCCTCTTTGGGCAATCTCTCACCCAATGTAGCCCGTCACATATGAAGCATGAGCCCTTGGGTTTGGGTGCTCCCTCCTTGTTCTCCCCTCCTTCTTTGCCACCATGGCCACCACCTGGCCTACGGGACCAATCTTTGCGTGGTGCAACACTCTTGTCTCCTTCACCTTTGCCGGTATACCGCCCCTTGTCCTTGTCCTTGTCTTTATCCTTTGGCTTAGACGAGGGTTCCTTCTTGGAGTTGAAATTGATAAAGGACTCCGCCTCTGCAATAGCCATGGCAAGGTCTTGCACTTTGCGCCACCTCAACTCCGTCTTAGCCCACAACTACAAGCCATCCATGAAGAAGAAAAGAGAGTCCTTGTCAGATAGATCCAGGATATCAAAAGTCAGGTTAGTGAATTCCTTCACATAGTCCCGAATCGACCCAACCTGTTTTAGCCTTCAGAGTCTGCCCCTGGCTTCATCCTCGGCATTCTCAGGATAGAAATGCTTCTTAATTTCCCTTGTGAAATCAGCCCAAGTATCAATAGAGACCGTACCTTTGCCCATGTCACCATACTTTTTCCTCCACCATAGCATGGCATGGTCGGTGAGGTAGAGGGTCGTCGTACGTATCTTGATGGTCTCATCCGTCATGCCCGTAGCCTCAAAGTATTGCTCCATGCTAAAGAGGAAGTTCTCCAACTCCCTCGCTACCCGGTTCCCACCATAGCACTTAGGCTTGGGAATGTCAACCCGGGGTGCTACTACCCCCGTAGTAGCTGTGCCGAACACCACCGCCCGCTTGCACAATGCCCAATCCGCTCGCATTTCCTCCATTTGCTCGAAGAAGGTGCCAAGCTTCAGATCAACATAGCCACGTAGGGTGGCAAACTCGCCCAACATAAGTTCTCGAAGCGCTTGGAGCTCCTGCCGAAAGTCACCACTTAGGGCATTGAGTGACCCTTTGACAGCATTCTGGACCTTAGCGTCCTCCGACTCCAGCTCATCCATGCGCTGGTGAGCATCCTCAAGCTGTCCCTTCACGTTGGCCATGGACTCCTCTATGTTTACCAAGCGTGCCTTAAAGCCCGCAACGATGTCCTCGACCTAGCCCTCGTCCTCGGTCCGACTGGAAGGCGAGTATTGTCCCTTTCACGTGGCTCATCCTCTGGGAAATTAACCACGTCTGAGTGCTCCGCCATAGCTTCCTCCACACAAGGTGTGACACCTCACGACCTTAGCTCTGATACCAACTATCACGGACTTGGACCTTTCCAAACTCACGTACGCCCTTAGACACTTTCAAGCCCCCTTGAAGCGCTAAGTCAGCCTACCCGAGTGTGTTAGCTTAGTGAAGACTAAGGTTAGACAAATGTTTTGCTTACTTGAGTGTGTAGGAAGAGATTAGGCAAGTGAGCAAGAGAGTTTGGGAATGTATAGAACTTGTATTGCTTACAAGGAGAAGATTACAACTTGGTTACTTGGTGAGGATCAAATGAACTCCCACCTCCTATTTATAGGCCTTTGGCCTTACAAGAACATTCTAGATGTGTACAAATGTAGCCTAGAATAAGTGTCTAGAATCCTCCAAAGATATATCTACACAATTCTAGAGAATTCTATACAACTTTAGATAAGTCCAGAAAAGGCTAGACAACTCCACACTAATCTAGAGAATTCCAGAAAGTTCTATACTTGTGTAGAGAAGTCTAGAAAGCTCCGGTCCATATAGGCTCCATGTCATTGTATGCTGGGCGTTTGCGTGGCGCCTGCGTGGTGTAGCCTCTTGGTTGCGGGGCGTAACATTAAGGTTGGGCATTGAGTCTCAACACAATTTAATAGGAGAGGGTATTTAGGTAATTTTAATTGAGTAAGTTAGGTTAAAATTGTCTTCATAAAAATTAAAAAAGAATTTTAGAAACTTCAAATCAGCAGCAATGACAAACATTGAAGGGCACTAATTTTTATCCTTCCAAATATGGACGGAAGACACAAAAGAAAGAAGATAAAGCTATTATAAATATTTTTAAATTACAAATTTTTTCTTATAATTAATACTTTCTCTTTTCTTCTCTCATAACATACGAAATAAGGTATTATTTTATTATCTTCTCTTCCATCCAACCAAACAAAAATAGAGAATGACACAATTTCTTCCTTAGGGATATTTCATTTATCTCTACTTCTTCTCTCCTTTCCATCCTATAAAACGAAGCATAATTGTTAACGGAGTGAGATCCGTATTATTAATATATAAACCTCTGGGGAGTTTGTGTAATTTGTCAAAGAAGGAGGGGGTCTGTGAAATTTGACTCAACCTCGTGAAAGATTAGTGTAATTTTTTCTCTAAAAAAAAAAGAAAAAGAAAAAAAGCAAAAATAAACTGGTTGATGTTCAAGAGAATCAAAAGCAGCGGACTTTCCAAAATTCAAATGTGAAATCTTAATTTCATTTCCCGCCCAAAAACACTTCTCCTTAGTCCTTAACCTTAAACAACCTTTCATACGCATACCTCAAAACCACCACAACTACACTGTCTGTATTCAGATTCATTCATCAAATCCTTCGTAAAAAAAACCACAGGCTTATATAAAAATATAATTTATATATATATATGTCGACTTCATCAGTTCGCCGGCTAAAAGAACGAGGCGGCGGTGGAGGGAAGGTGGCGGCTGCGGTGGCGAAACCCTCCAGAACCCCAAACCCAGTCTCCGACAAACTCGCCGGAGGCGAGACCCTCAAGAGATCCACCGGAAAAGAAAATCCCAGACCCACTTCTAGGATTCGGGCAGCAGCAGTAGCGGCGGCGGCGATGTCGCAGAAGCCTGTGATGCGGGCGATGCCGCGAATCGAGAAGCCCCCGGGTGACGATGTGGAGACTCGTGTTCGGTGGTCAACTTCGTCGGTGCAGAGAGGTAGGAGCTCTAGTCCTTCTGATTTCAATCGTGTTTTATCTGATTCGCGCAGGAGTAGGGTTTCTGGGGTTTCAGCGGATCGGTGCGAAAAGGGTTCGGGAGGTGAAATTGAGCGATCCGTGTCTGGTGGGGGGAAGTTTGTGGGCGGGATTAGGGTTTCTGAGAAAATTCAGCGAAAGAAAGGTACTTTTAGGGATTCAAATGTGAAAGCAAATGAAGGAAGTGAGAATGGTATTAGGGTTTTGAAGGATTGTAAAGATCCAGCGCGTGTCATGCTGAGCACAGAAAAAAGTAGTGAAATTCGTAAGGAGGTATTGAAACCCGAAGGAAGTGAAAACTTTAGAGTTAGGGTTTTAGATGACTATAATGGAGATGTTAATTTAAGCTTAATTTCAACAAAACTAGAGAGTTGTAATCATGTTTCTGATTCAGATCCCTATGTGAAGGTTTCGGATCATCTTGGAGTTATTGAGGAATCAAAGAGGAGATCTTGTGTTGTTTTGAGGTCAGATGATGTAACTGAGAAGAAACAGAATGGTACTGATTTGGGTTCGAAAGAATTGGGCAGAAAATATTCAAATAATTTGAATGTGAAGGCTGTGAGTTTAAAAGAGAAGGGTGTGATTGAAGAGGGTGCTGGTGCTCAGTGTGTGAACAAATATCCAAGCAAGCTCCATGAGAAGCTTGCTTTTTTGGAAGGGAAGGTTAAGAGGATTGCATCTGACATTAAGAGGACCAAGGAGATGTTGGATATGAATAATCCAGATGCTTCAAAGGTGATAATTTCGGATATTCATGAAAAAATTTCAGGGATTGAAAAAGCGATGGGTCATGCTGTGAATTGTTCTGATGGTAATGGTGGTGGTTTGAGAACTACAAAAAATGATGATAGTCGGATCAAAATATCAGAGGGCGGACAAAGTTCAGTTAAAGGTTTGAACAGTGAGGAACTTGAAGCAAGACTCTTCCCTCATCATAAATTAATTAGAGATAGGACATCGTTGAAGACATTGTCGGGAAGCTCTCAAAGATGTCAACCCAATATTGTGGAAGTTGCTAGTGAAGTAAAGCCTGAAGAGAAGTTGTTGAGTTCCATCGATGAGAACCCTATTGCTTTGGAGTTCTTGGCTTCACTTAATAAGGAGCAGTCTAAGGACACCATGAAGGATGCACATGTTGGTATGGAAGCCTGTGAAATCCAAGAAATGGATGATGCTGCAACTTCAGAAGTAGAAAATTCTTCAAGCTTGTTCAACGGAAAAGGTGATATTGAGCTCATCCTCACAACAAATGAAACACTCGATGAGTTTGATGATCAGGAGAATAAACCGACAATGATGATCGAAGAGGAGACAGAAGATAGTTCCATTTACCAGTTAAATGAAATTGGCCTTAAGACCTCGACTGGGGGATGGTTTGTGTCAGAGGGAGAGTCGGTTCTTCTTACTCATAATGACGGTTCATGTTCCTTCTATGATGTTGCCAATTGTGAGGTATGCAACCTTGTACCTTCTTAAACTTGAGAATTCTTATGTGGTTCTGAACTTTATCCTAATTTTCTTATTTTTCCTTTTGATGCGCTTATAGCTCAATCAAATGGAAAGTTACATAGAGGGGTTTTTGATTAATATAATATGTGCTTTCCTCGTATTCCCAGTAATATTTGATTTGCTTCAAATTGTCGTGGTATTCATCAATCTCTCTCTAGCTCTTTCTCGTATCTGTTATGAACTACATCAGATTAGTACAGTGTCTTCGTAAATTAACTAATGACGTGTCCTCATTTCAGGAGAAGTCTGAGTACAGGCCCCCAATCGGAGTCTCACCCAATGTATGGAGGGATTGTTGGATCATTCGTGCCCCTGGTGCAGATGGTTGCTCTGGAAGATATGTTGTCGCGGCATCTGCCGGTAATACAATGGATTCAGGTTTTTGCTCGTGGGATTTCTACACAAAAGATGTGCGAGCTTTCCACATCGAGGATGGAAATACTAGTTCAAGACCAGCACTTGCACCCCTACCCAATAACACTTTATACAACAGAAATGCTTCATCTACCATTGTGGCCCCAGAAAACCAGCAATGGTGGTATAAACCCTGTGGACCACTTATTGTTTCTACAGCCAGTTGTCAGAGGGTTGTCAGAATCTATGATATCCGGGATGGAGAATATGTTATGAAATGGGAGGTGCAGAAGCCTGTGTTAGCAATGGATTACTCAAGTCCTTTGCAATGGAGAAACAGAGGAAAAGTGGTTTTAGCAGAGGCAGAAACTTTGTCTCTCTGGGATGTGAGCTCTCAGAATCCTCAAGCATTACTTTCTGTTTCTTCATGTGGTCGAAAGATCTCTGCACTTCATGTGAATAACACCGATGCTGAAATAGGTGGAGGAGTTCGGCAAAGGTAAAATTTCTATTCAGTGCTTCCATTGATTGTCCGACATTCTCATATGGAGCATTCTTCTGTGTTTGATGGTTCCCTTATCTCTTTTATCTTGTCCTAACTTAGCCTGGTAAATTCCATTTTCTTTTCCTTAATTTAGGTGTTCATCATGGATTTTGCTAGCAAGATTATTGATGATCTATATGGACCTTTACACCTTTTTGTGTAGTGATCTATCGTTATTTCCACTTCTTATTGTTGAATTTCTTGCTGACCTCATTTTTTTTTATATATAAATATTGTATTTTTTCTTTAGAATACATAATTTGTAGCAATTCTAGCATCTGCTAATAGTCAAATAAGATTTAGATGCTCAAGTATTGTAATATCTGACCATATTTATTACCAAACTTTACCAGTGCTCTCTTGTCCTAATCTAGTTAATATTTGAAATGCAGAGTAAGTTCATCTGAAGCAGAAGGAAATGACGGTGTATTCTGCACCCCTGATGCTATTAATGTTTTAGATTTCCGGCACCCATCTGGTATAGGTCTTAAGATTCCCAAACTTGGAGTCAATGTGCAGTCAGTTTTCTCTCGCGGAGATTCCATCTTACTTGGCTGCACTAACTCACGGTCAGCAGTGAAAAAGCAACAATGCCCCCAGGTGCAACATTTCTCATTACGCAAACAGAGGCTTGTCAGCACTTACGCTTTGCCAGAATCAAATGCTCATTTCCATTACTCAGCCATAACACAGGTTTGGGGAAATTCAAACCTTATCATGGGTGTGTGTGGACTGGGGCTGTTTGTTTTTGATGCCTTGAAGGATGATGGGTTGCAGTCTTTCACCATGAACTATGGTAACGTGCAAAATGTTAGAGAAATTATCGGACCTGATGACATGTATTCTCCTTCTTTTGATTATTTGGCATCTCGAGTTCTCCTTATATCGAGGGATCGTCCAGCACAATGGAGGTACTTATCATAGGCGTCATTTATGATTTGAGACATATTTTGTCAAACAGTGGACCATTAGCATGAAAATTGCTGCTGCTTGTGTTCTGTTTTGTATTGCATAATGCATGCTGTGTGAAAAATTGAAGTAATATTGCTATTTATTGTAATAGAGCTGCTGTTTAATATAGAAAAAAAGTGATGTGCATTGTTAGCTGCTACTGTGTCATACAATATGTCAAAATTAGAAAATGAAGGGCAGGTGTAAGTTTACCAGACTCACGGAGGCTAAAGAAATGATTTGTATTTGAATCCATTCATTTCTTAGATAAGCCCCTGGCCATGATCCGTTAACGTCTACTCATCCTCTCATGAGGAATGGAACATGGCTAAATCTGGTTCCTTGTAGGAGCAAGCACAAGGGGACTGTTTCATTGTAAACAAAGAAAATCAGAGAACAACAAAGACAGCTTGCAGCTTGGAATTAATTCAATTGGATGTTTTTATGGAATCTCAATAGACTCAATTGTTGTTATGTTCTATGGAAGTTGTATGATTTTACTCTCTTGAAAACATTAGGCCCCATTGACCAAAATGATTTAGAAAGATTCTTCTTTTTTAATGGTGATCGTTCATGTCTTCTGTATTGTTTTTTTTGGACAAATTCTGATTTCGTTTTGCTTCCAGTAAATGAGCCTGCTATAGTGTAGAAGCATGCAAATAAGAAAAAAGAGTAGTGTTACCAAGTTAGCTGACCTCAAATCATTCATAAAATGCGAGGTTTGAGTGTCTTTCCCGATAGATTCCTTCAGCTTCTCAGAAAGGGGCGGTTTATACTCAGTATACTAATAAAAAGAAGAGTACAATGTTGCCATGTTTGTTTTAGACTCCAGTCCCTAGAATCATTAGCCAATTTCTTCACCTGAAATCACCAACTTGTTGCTTTTCGCATCAGTGCAATCACTCCTAGAACCATTCCCAAGAACATCTCTGGAGAAAGTTTGAAATGTTCTATGATTGATGCTTTGTTGCTAGAAGTAGATCATCTCAAATTCTTCAAGCGAGATATAAAGCATGAAGAATACTCACATAATTCTAAGGTTCCCTCGACAACTCTATCGAACTGTCTGTAAAAGAAATAAAATCAGTCTCAAGTATGCTTAAATCCCTCAATAACTTGTGTTTGAGAGAAATGCCGAGGTCTCTTCCCATTTTCTTGTCTTTTCTGCTGATGTTTGGAAACCTTAAGACCCTTTATATTGGCTTTGAAATGTATTCCATTTATAATTCTATTTGAAACCTTTGAACATGTTTTGGATGAATTAGAACAATTTTGAGCTTAGGAACTTGTAATATTTGCTCCTGCCAATATGAATACTTGTGCTGGGAATTTGAGTACCTGTACTCAACTCTCCAAACTGGAGTGTTCGGTACCATGACTTGTATATATATAGAATAGAGTTCTACACTCTAGAAGCCTTATTTCTGAGAGTTTAGAGTTTAAGGCCTCGGACCAAGAGATCTTTGTAGAAGTTGATGCATCTATCTTTTGGTTTAAAAAAAGAGTAATTTGAGAATAGAAATGCTGCCAACTTCTCTCGGAGTTGATGCATTTTGTGGCATTCTGGAGCTGTATGACTAACACTTTTCTGTGTGTATATCATAGTGTTTACATAAAATCATCCAATTTAAACTGTAGTTTGTGTTGTTGCCACTTTTACTTTAATTAAATTCAGCAAAACAGAAAGTCAGTATCTTGTTTTTTATGTGAAACTATATTTTTCTGGTTGGCAAATCTTGTTTATATTCAATACCACAAGGAAAAGTTCAGAATTACAAATACACTTTCATCATTAAGTGCAAGTTAAAATGCCCAAATTTACAAGACACCAAGCATTCTCGAATGCACGCCTTGGTTACTACATCAGGAGCCTTACGGCTCGCCTTTTTAGTGGGATCGATCACTGATGTATGATGATCGAGATATCTCAATGTCATAATCAATACGGATCGCTTCAAGCTATATATGGTCGCGGAAAGTACTGCAAGCCTCTTCCTTCATGTTGGCCAATCTGCGGTGACAGTCTCTACATGCTAATACTTCAGCCATCAGAATCTGTCTCACGGAATGGCAAAGGTACTGTCTTCACTGCCCTAAACTTTCCAACATTGTTTAGATGTTCATTCTCCAACCTGTTTAATCATAGCTTAATTGTCAGTGCTGGAAGTCATCACATAATCTTCCATGAGTCAAGTTGATTATCTCATTAGAATTGAAATTTTACGTCGTATATGTGTAGCAGTTAAAACTTCTTACAGTTGAAGTAATCTGCAAATTAGATCATGTTTTGTGATAATTGTTATGTGCTAGATTGAAAGTACCTGTAGAAATTCCAGTGCCCGCGTCTGATAACCTCCAGTGAAGCAAGTGAAAAATCCAGCAACCTTGACTCGAAGGCTCCAATATTGAATGGCATTACTGTTTCTACCCAAGCTACTCGAAGGACAAAATTGAAGGCCTACAAAATTGGAGTTCTCCCTGTTCAGAATGAGAAAGAGAGAAGGAGAGAGGGAGAGAGAGAGAGAGAAACTTACAATGGAAATGTAGTAGATGCTTTTGTTCTTTAGAACGAGTTCATCTCTAAGCCATGGATTCTTGGATTTTGGGTTGAAAAGTCCCCAGTCCTTGACAAAATCCCAGTACAACTGATAAACTGTGGCCACCAGTGAAGTGACCAAGACTATGACCATCCATAACTGTGTGGGCTGCCTGGCATACGTTAACCTAGCCCCGGCTGCTACCATGGCCGAAACATACTTTCCCAAGTTAGCCAGGTGGTTCATGTCACATTCATCAAACCATCTTCTTGCACACTTGAATTTTACAGAAACATAACATTAACATTCAACATCACTCATTCCAACCAACAGTGTCATATCCGAAAACAAAATCCCAGAAAAACCTTATTGCAAGTGAGTGCGATTCGCGCTCATTTTGAACACTTCTCATAATCTGTTGAACAAAATGAGATCATCTTACCTGCATTGCACGCCAGTAGTACGGTGCAAAAGAGATGACATATGCAAGCTCTCTGTATAGCTTTCCGGACTTGCAGGTTTCATATCGGTTTGTCTTGATATTTCCAGCTACGAAATAGCATGCTGCGGATTCAATGTGCCTCAGCAATGGAATCTGATGATGAAACAGAGTAAGTTTTTAAAGGTTGTCTCTGGCATAAGTCTGTTTACCTGTCTAGGAAATAGTAAGGGTCTGTTTGGTTGGTTACTTTGAAAACAGTTCTCAAGAATTCATAAACCATTTTAAGAGAATTACAAAAGACAGTTATCTGAAAATAAATTTTTTTTATGACCATCAAAAAATAGTTTAAAGCTTTTTAATGGATTGTTTTCAGAGTTATAAGCCAGACACTAATTTATTAAGGTTGTTTCTGGCACAAGACCATTTACCTGGCTAGTAAGTTGGTCAGCCATGAAAAAATCTACCATCAAAACCTGCGTGCACAGATTCAAAACGGAAAACATGTTTTACTGTTGAGCGATTATGTTCCGAATTATAAATTTGTAAGAAGGTTCAGAATTTACCCTGTAGAATGGGGAGCAGATTATGTTGCGAATTATGCGAAGGAAGCAATACCGGGTTGGGCGATAGCAGATGTTGAATGGACATATGAGCAGGGCGATGAAAAACTGAAGAAGATGGAATGGAAAATCAATCATCAGAGCTTTGGAACATCAAATATTGAATCATCTTCTGTAGGTCACCAATAAAGACAATGTAGTATCATCTACCATCACAGCAATTTACAAATCTTAACATGAATCTGCTAGCCTTTTAACAATTGATTCCATGGTGTCATAATCTCAAAACAAACCTGGATTTAGCCTTCCACAAGCTAACCTTGTTATAGTTCTAGTGGTGCAAAATTTACCTTAACATACATAAATGTATTATATATTTCTGAATTACGGAAAATTTCAGTTTGATTTAGTTTTCTAAAAACAGTTTTCAACAACTTTAAAAATGAACTTAATTTCTTAGTGAAAATGGACAAACTTAGAACTACAAATTTATTTATTTTTCATGGCAAATTAGGGGCAGGGGAGATTCGAACATGGCACACTAGCTTGGGGAGCTGGACGCTCTACCAATTAGGTAATGCACTAGAATTACAAATTTGAATGAAGCTATGTATATTGAAGGTAATTGCGTTTAATTCTAATGTGTCGATTTGGTACTTCCAAATGCAACACGAAGGTAATTAGGAACTAACCAGGAAGAGAAATCCAGGAATGGCATCAACTTGTCGCGGCGAAAAATGACTTGACAATAAGATGAGATGGATGACCATGGCTCCGACCACCGCGGTCATCAGAGATGTGCAGATGAGGAAGGCATCTCTGTACTTGACGGCCGTGCTGGGCTGGAATTCGAATATGAAGTTGTAATTGATCCTCGTGCTCTTCCACATGAAGAGATTGCAACCATACATGAACAAGTGCAGGCTTAGCAAGGCAAACATACTGCACATACACACATTCTTGATTTTAGTATAACAATAATATAACATGTATATGTGAACAGAAAAATTACTCTTTAATATTCTTATTCTTGTTTGGCAGCATCGAATTCGCACATTGGATTTGGAATTAGAGAAATTTTAGTATAAAGTTTGAATTAAATTTCTTCCGATCCCAAATCCTAGGCACCGTTTGGTGCTCCTAAACATAAATTCAATCAACTCATATTTAGAAGCTTGAGAAGTAACAGAAATAGTTCCCGCGAGCATATAAGTTGTTCATTGCTAATTGCGGTGACTTAGTTGTATCAACAAGTAAAAGGTGAGGGTTCAAGTTCTTATAAGAGCAAAAAGGGTCGGTATTTTGCAAATGAATGTATATATATATATATATACACACAGATGATGTTCCAAATTTACCCCTCTAAGCATGAGCAATTATTTTATTTTATTTATTAATCTGAGGAGTAATTAGCATATAATAAAAGGAAGTTAAAAAAGTGAAAAGTGAACCTGAAAACAGGGTAGACGGTCTCCATATAAGCTGTTTCTGTTGTAGGGGAGAACATGCCGCACAAATGCGCCAATATTGCATACACACTAAATAGTGTCAAAAAACAACCTGTAAACAATCCTGCAATGACACAACATCAAACATTAAAATAATTTCCCATATTTTAATCAATTCACCTATGTGTAAACTAGTTTAACTGGTATTATTATTTATTTTTACCAAAAACTTAACTGGTGCTAATTTACAAAGGTCAAGTCTTGCAAGGTTTTGCATGAAGAACGTGTATTTTTAAATGAACATTGTGATTAGTTCAGGTTGCTTTGGTAAATTTCATTTATTTTGGCTAATTATTAGGTAGTAATGATATGCCAAAATCACATCCATTGACAGATAAATATTTTTCGCAATCTTTTTTCACTATTTTCAGGATAATGTACCTTATCAACAAGTCAGTATCTAGTCGATTTTTGTTTTGAATTTCTCTCTCATGTTTTCTAGATTGTTTAATATTTTGTTAAGGTGGCAGTGAAATGATAAAATATAGTATCGTAAATTAGCAATTTTTGTTGTGAATTTCTCTAACATGAGATTGTTTAATTGGCAGTGAAATGATAATTTACAAATGTCAAGTCTTGCGCACAACAGAAAAAAAGAAAAGACAAAAAGAAACAAGGTTTTGCATTTGAAGAACATATATTTTTTAAAAAAAGGTAGTTGGGCTTGGTCCTTTTTGTTTTGGGCTTAGAGCTTGCTATTTGCTGTTTGGCCCAGTCTTATTTTTGGACCTCCACTGTACAGTTTAGGTACTTCAATATATCTTGCTTAACTTTCAAAAATTCAAAAAAGAAAAAAAAAAAAAAAAAAAAGACATCGGCTAGGATACGATAATATAAAAATAATAAATTATAAATATATATTTTTGGTAAATAATAATAAATTATATTATTATGCATACACAAAATTGATTTTATGTTATATGTTTTGTTATTAACAATTCTTTATAAAACATTATGATTAACAAATATAAAATTAATTTTATGTTATATATAATATTATTAACAATTCTTTATAAAATATTATGATTAACAAATAAAATAGGTTATAAGAGTCATATTGTCATAGCATAATTTTCATAATTGGTAGAGTGTTTAGTTTTCTGAGTGGGTGTATCCGTATTCGAGTCTTCCTCCCTAGTTTGTTCGTGTAAACCAGTTACTGGATTAAGCCAACCGAAAAAAAAAAAAAATTTAACCATTTGAAAAAAAAGAAGAAAAAAACAGAAAAAAAAAAAGAAAAAGAAAAAGTAAGAGAGAGTACCAACAAAAAAGGTAACCATGTGAGAATCTTTTTGCAGTTGGGGCCTCAAAAATTTCATTGCTTTTTTCCTGTCCTTGTTGGCGAAGTGCTTTATGAATGAGGACTCCACTTCGTCCATTAATCTAACCACCTTACCACACACAAAAAAAAAAAATAATAACATATGCATAATGTCGCATTAGAAAATATAAAATTCCCATTATCAAATATAGTCACTACACAATTATCAAATTTAAAAAGTCCATAATGCATATGCATATAATGGTGTTCAAAGTTTATGCTAAAACGCATTTATGCAACAAGAATATATAGTGAAATATTATTAAATATCAATTGAGGGTATTTTTTAAATTTTAATAAAAATTATAAGTAATTTTACAATTTTTTTTTTTAGTGGGGACAGTTGCCATTATTGAGTCCTTAATAAGTCCGTCCCTGATCTAGATGGTGTGAGTCCTAACACGTGAGTGGAGCATGAACATCATTAAATATGATGATGTCATAATTACGTGACTTACTCATATAATTTCAATTAAATGTGTCTTGGAATTTTGTATTATTATTCTTTAAAAAAGATGAAAAAAAAGACTATGGTCTATGTTGGTAATGAACTTTATCAGGAAAGCAAATGACGTCAGTTTCAATGGGAGTTTCTCATATGGACTATTCTACTTAGATTACTATGCTACGTGTCCCTCCCATAGTGTACAAGGTCATCTTGACAACCTCTACTAGACATGCATGTAGTTGATATTACAATGTTTATTATTATTATTATTATGTTAATATAATCTTACTTAACTTTAAAAAAAAAAGTACTAACAAAAAATTAAATGTATTGAAAGAAATAAATAAGTTATATTGTTCTTTGATAGGTTAATATTATAAGGAACTATGTCAATATATATATATATTGAAAAATATCGAAATAGTAATGTACCTTATCGGAACTAATGAAATGCGATCTCTTCACGACTTTCAGATAATTTGCGGAAGCTTGCTGGTTTGACACCTGTTCATCACAAAATATACATATGATTTACTAATCACATTGTTGAGTCCGTAAACTCAAAAAAATGTAAAAGTTACACATGCTGTTGCATTTGAAAATATCAAACCGGCACATTAAATAAAATCGAAGAAAATGTAGCTCCTTTTAAAGATGGAAATGGGAAGAATTTGTATTGATACTCCCAACAATACGTAACTTAAAAGCTCATTTGATGATGGAAGAAATTAGCTCCAATTTGGAAGCTTTTGGAGGAATATTTTTTGAGGAAAGTACTTTCGTTATAATGAAGCTAGTTTGGGTTATAAATAAAATTGTTAGTGTGCCACACTATTCATGTGATCAGTATACGTTGACAGTTGAGTGCTTGAACCTTTCTCGTGGTGATGAGATTGTGACTTCAAAATATGGTTCACACACACACATACACAAACATGTGTGTGTGGCCTAATACATGACCTAAGCTTCACCTAAAACTGGTGGGAAAAAAACCATATTTTGACCTAAAATGGACCTAACAAATTGATGGACAGTTTCATAGTTGTGTGAAACTGATAGATATATAGTATAGTTAACAGCTTATATAGCTTACCTTGTCGAATTTCTTAACTATCTTGACGAAAGCCACCATATTCAGAGAGCTGCCAAAAATAGTGAAGTGATTAGAACATGCACGATTAGAGAAAAATAAAGAAACACACACACACACACATGCAAATTAACTATAAGTGAGTCGACAAGTATATACATATAGCTAGTCAATGAAACCGAGCAGCCAACTTACTATCAAAATCTACACACACTGCATGTGGTGCTACGTATGTCACCAAATGTTGTGTTCATCCTATTTTCTCTCACAAGTAAACAGTTGAGCCCCCTTTTTTTATTTTTTTTTATTAGGGTTTTTAGGGTTCAGAGGTGTAGGGTTTAAGATTTAGGATTTAGGGTTTTTTATTTTTTATACCATGGTAAAAAACAAATTGACACTCTCATTTCTCCTTATGAAGATTTCGATAAAGTATATCATAACCAGGAACTACTTTGACATGTGGTATCCTTTCCAGAGAAAACTTTCTGTTTCTCTCAAAAAAATCCTCACTTTTCTATTATCAAGAAAAATAGGGAGTTTTTATTAGGAGGGGTATTACATGTTAAATTAAAATAGCACCGGGTATTGTATACTTTCTCGGAGGTTTCAACTCTTGACCTTCTACTTTGAAACATAAGGAAGGGTCACTAAATTGCATACTTTGGTAAAAATAAAATAAAAATAATAATAACTAATTTTATATCATTGTTGGAAAATATATACTATCTAAATAATCCAGTAAATTATTTCAAAGAGTACAGGAAGGGTCTAAGAAACAATAGTGGCATATTCACAAAAACTTTAATATTTAAACAAAAGAGAGTACTTGAAATTGATATTACAATCTGAATCCTATATAACAAAATTGTAGTTTAAATGGATAAGAAAAAATTCCTCCCATATTTATAAATAATCTACATAAGCAAAACTATATCACAAACAACTATAACTATTTTAAGAAAATCAGAATATTAAATTTGTTGACGGTTTTGCCCTTGGCACGTGCATGAGTAAACTCATCAACTCCGAGTAGGTTTAAACACTAGTCCTCAAATAATCTACATATATATATATATATATATATATATATATATATATATATATTCCTTGTGATTTCCACCTTTTTATCTGCTAACTAAATCATTAAATAATTAAAAAAATTGACATAATTAACAAAGAAAGAAGAAAAAAAAACCTGTATGTTTTGAGTAGACCAAGGCCTCTGTAAAGCTCAACAAAAGCACCTCTAATCATCTTCTCCGCACACTGAATCTTCTTTCTATTGATGAAGTCTCCCGGGCCTTCTTTCTTAGGGTTTTTAACTATATCTTCCCAAAGCATGGAAGCAACGGCCGATACGGACCGTGTTGGTGCTATAGCTGGAATGTCAATCCTCATGGCAGTCTTTGGCTTCTCCTTCTTTGCTTTCAAGTTTGTTGCAGAGGCAATAAAATGTACGCCATTCTTTTCCAGCGCCGCGATTACTTCGTCCGTCTTTGAGGTTTCTCTAGGGCTTTCACTGTATTCAGTTTGGCTTTCTGCATGTAAAATTTATTAGACATGGTCATATATATATATATATATATATATATGTATGTATCTATGTGTTCTTAAATAATTAAACAAAAATATATCTATAGTCTATAGAGATTAAAGGTTATGTACTTCTCTCAATTGGGATGAAAAAATAAGATGAAATTATGGTAAAGAGATGACAAGAGTAACAATAGAGTTTTTCATGGTAGCATTTTTAACACTAAATATATGTTTGACATTGTGGTTCAATATATAGTCTAAAATTCTTTTTTATTTGAAAAATAACTTTTTAAATATTATTTCTGCAAATACCAAGAAAGAAAAAAAAAAAAAAAATTTCTTGTTAGATATATAGCCATATAGGTGGAACTTTTGGCTGTACTCAAATTTGATAATTTTGGAATCAAGTTTGCAAGTAGAAGTAAAATTAATAGAAGTATAATTATTAAAAGTACTTCTCACATTACGTATTTTAAAAACAATCTTTTTTTTTGACAAATTTATTTAAAAGAAGAAGCATTTCATTTCAATAATCTTAAAAAAAAATTCCTTTCTTATCGAAATCGAAACAGACATCCGATCTGTGTACACCACCACTGACTTTGGTCCCACCACTCGATGGCCCTCGATCCCTATCTTTGCTTCTGCCACCCGAATTTCAGAAAGAGTATCGAATCTTCCAACCTTAATTGGGTTATGGTCTAAAAATTTGATGAATTGCAAAATAAATTTCACAAAATTTAATTTGGAAATCAAAGTTTGAAGGACCATCACAAAATATTGTTGCATGCATCCATTTTTAGCAAAACACATAGCCTACTGGACCACTGTCACATTCTTGGACATAATTGACAACCCACCAACGTCCATTTGCTAACGCACTCACACATGGAAACATATATGTTTATAAACTTTGGAAAAATTGGTGTGTCCATTTCTATGATCTTGTTTAAATCCTGTCTAGGGTAAAAAGATTTTCAATCTTATTATTATTTTTTATTTTTATTTTTTAAAAATACCAACTATAGCATGAAAGACTGTTTTGCGTGAGATCTTAATAAGACGCACTTTGAGCGATTCACCTGGAAAGGGACTACAAACTCCATAGAAATAGAGAGGTCGCCCTTGCCTTATCAAGTTTTCAAGTGTCTACATCTCAAAAAGGGATCCGATTATAATTTAATTAAGAGTTGTGATACAAAGTTTAAAATCAGACACATTTGAATAAATTTATGTAATTGGAGGATGACGTCAAGATAGTTTTCTCAAATTAGGAACGGGCCCATTAAAAAAGGGTTAGTGGGGCAGCCGCTCCTACTGATTATTTTATTTATAAAATTACCTATAAATTTTGTAAAAATCTTAAAAATGTTCATACTCAATTTCTAATTATACCCCATTATATATTATTATTGTTCAAGGCCGTCCACTCTTATACAATTTTTTGAGTCCATCACTACATCAAATACTCACATAAAATAATCAAATTTGTCTAACTTTCAAACTATTTATTATTTTCCTTTAATTAAAGTCCGTCCCTTAAATAGGAAAAATTGTTTGGCTTATAAGAAAATAGAAAATAACAATTCAAGTATGGTACCATATTGTCTTTACTTGAGCACTGAATCCATAACTTGTGTGACTGTGTCCTATGGGGTCCAATTAAATGTTGGATTTAAACTATATATATATATATATATATATATATATATATATATAGTCAGAATTTTTTAAATTTGGTTGATTGGTGCATGTGGGACTAATACTGTATGTATTTAAGGTTATCAAATCTTCAACTTGGACATGAATTAGAACTTATTTTTTTCTAACTTCAAAGATTGGGTTACACTAGGATTGACTTGTTTGAACTCGTTTATTGAGATTTTTTATTTTTATTTTAAGGATATTTGAAATCCCAATTAACCAAAAACAATAACAAAAACAAACAATAACAAAAACAGGTGCGCAAAAGATTGACTTAAATTTGGTTGATTCAAATTGCTAACTCTTTCTCACTCTCATATTGTTATCGTGTTAGGCAAGTATTGTTCATATAAACGGAAACATCATACCTGAATAATCGGAGTTCATGGTAGACGACGAGAAAGACACAGGAAGAACTCCGGGATTACTTTTCCGGCGCTGTTGGCCGAGAACTTGCTTGAGGTCCAGCAAAATCTGTAGCTGCTTAGTCAAAATCTCTCCTCTTTCAAGAAACTCCCTCTCTTTGGTCTTGTAAAACTGGTTCACTTTATCCAGCTCCTCATCTAATCTCTCAAAGAACATTTTCACCTAAATATACACACAAAATATTTATAACTAAATTTACAACAAACAAATATATATATATACACACACATACATACATGTGTGTGTGTTTACCTCCTGATCAGTTTCATTCACTTCCTCTTCTTCGTCATCATCCTCGTCCTCATCATCATCATCTTCTTTCTGTGTGATTTTGCTCTTCATCTGCAACAAAAAAAAAACAAAACAAATATATGTCAATCATAAATACACGTAGATTAGTTATATATATATATATATAATGTCTTCCTTTTCATGATTTCTTTTGTGGGTGGTTGTTTTCTTTCTAAAACTCACGACAATTGCGTGATGTATGAGATCTAAAACCGTTTCATCAATGTTTTCGTGTCAGAAATGAACAATGACATTTGCTTTTATAGCAAAAAGCTAGCATAAAAGCTCACCGGAGTCTGATCACATTTAGTCATTTCCGATCACATTTAATCATTTCCGGCCAACAACCTTAAACTCAGTAAGCAAACATTGGTGAGAATCCAAATTCCAAATTATTTAATTTAATTTAATTAATTAATTAATTAAAGGGAAATGTCTAAAATGAAAACAGAGAATTCCAATTTTTGGGTAGTCGTAAAAAACAAAAAGAGGAGACAAGTAACAACCCGGAAAAGAACAACATTAAATGAAACGGAATGAGTTAATGAGCACACACATATGACTGATCAAAGTAATGAATTGTTTTAAACTTTTGCTGAAAAACAGGGCCACTTTTAAACTTTTCGTAACAAAAAGACAAGAAAACTGGAATAAAATCGCCCAATTCAACAATGATACTCATTCGATTTTTGCAAAAAAATAGTGTTCCCTTTCCTTCAAGTACTTATGACCCACACCTGATATCGCCTGAAAACTGACACACCCAGCCGGAAAAATTAAAAATGTTGTCCAGCTGAATAAATATATATAAATTCAACCCATTGATTTTCACATATACCTGAAAAATCTCAGGTTTTTCTCCGAAATCGAAAAGCTTGTGAGAGATTTTCTTGGCAACGAATCGAATGGGATCGAAAATGGAAATCCCAAAATCAGGGTTGGTTTCATTTGATTGCTCTGCTTTTCTTGAGAGCCTTATCTTCTTGACATGCTTCTTCAGCTGCCAGTAATTGACAAAAGCATCCTTCCATTCCGGGATGAGTTGGGCTTCGAGTTCTTTCGAGAACTTCACCATTGTTTCTGTTGGATGGAAGGAAAAGCCAGCTGAAGAAGCTGAAGAAGAAGAAGAGTTCAGAGGTGTTGGGTTGATAACATAGGTTTATATACAGAGATATAGAGATAGGAGAGAAAGAGGCTCATGTACGAAATATATAGAAACAATGATTACTTTTTAAAACCCGGAAATGAAGTTTAAAAATGGATCGGATCATGGGTCTAACCCAACTTCACTCGCCCATATATATATATATAATTCCTCCTTCTGTCCCAAATTAAAAGTTCACATTTTTATATTTTATTGTCCCAAAATAAATATCCTATTTGTAAATTTAAATTCCTATTTTTTAATTTTTTTTGTAACATTACCAATTTTACATTCTTATCTTCTTACAATCTACTAATAAAGGCTCGCGAGCATTTAACACTCTTGTAGTATGCATATAGCTTATATAACCTGTTGCCCAAGAATTGACTCTAGAGGGGGGGTGAATAGAGTCAATGCCAAACAATGGATAATTTTCGCAATATATAGAAATACAATTTCTATTCAACAATTTAAGTAATTATGCAATAATCAAGATATGAGATCAAGATATGGAATAAGCAATTAAAGCATAATTATAAGAGAGATAAGGGAAGAGAAATTGCAAACAACAACACGGCGATTTTTGCGAGGTTCGGAAACTCCTACTCCTCGGCTCAAGATCCCTCTTGAGACTTCCCAATCTAATATAGCTTCTCCTTGCGGGTGGAGAGCAAACCTTTACATGAAGCAAGACCTTGCTTCTTTTCCTTGCTAGGAGAACACCCTTCTCCTAGGCTTCTTTTGGGTCACACCAACCCTTACAAGTTTGTAGAAAAGATTGTAATTGAAAAACAAGATTGAATCTCTCTCAAGATAGATATACAAGTGCAAGCTCACAAGAAATATCTCTCAAAGATTGATGTACAAACTTTAGCTCTCAACTAGAGTATATATGAATATAAGTGAAGCTCAAACTCTATAAATGATATGAATGAGAGAAGATGATATAAGTGAAGAATGTAAGCTTTTATAATCTCTCAAGTGAATAATAGAGCAAAAAACTCTATGAAGATTAAAGCAAGAGCAAAAGCCCTTTTAATGCTTAATTAAATCTCTCAAAATAGAATAAGAGTGAAATGAGAGAGAAGAGAAGATGAGAGAACAAAAGATCTCTTGAAATGTAATATTATGTCTCTCAAAAATGGTAGTCTATGTGCTTCAGCAAAATGAGCCTTCCTTATATAGACAGCCGTAGCTTAATATGTCTGTTAGAAGTAGTTGGAAGACTTAAATGCAGAAAAGTGCCGTTGTAGATTCAAATATCTTAGAAGAGCCGGCTCTACAAAAAATTGGAGGAGGCTCCAATAAATGGGAGACGGCTCCAATAATTGGGAGGCGGCTCCAATCCATGAAATGCATTCTACGACATAAGTTTTGGCTACTGGAGTGCAAAGAGGCGGCTCCTATAAAAATGAGAGGCGGCTCCAATAAATGGGAGGCGGCTCCAATAATTGGGAGGCGGCTCCAATAAAAATGGGAGGCGGCTCCAATTTAAAATGTGCTTGCTTTAGTTTTCATGGAGGCAACACCTTGTTTTGGATTTTGATAGAAAATGGCATGACTTCAAATGGACATAACTCAGTCCATGAAACTCCAAATGAGGTGAAATTTAAGTCTAAATTTATTGCCTTGAAGTCAGCTTTCTAAATCCACTGGCCTTGCTCAAAAATTCCAAACACAGAAGAAGTTATGGCTATTTAAGTGCAACCTGGTCAGAATTTTCGCAGAGCAGAATCATGTATTTTGTGAAGCTCATATCTCAGTCATTTTTAATCCAATTTAGGTGAAATTTGAGTCTAAACTCAAGTGCTCGAAGTCAGCTTTCCAATGCCACTGACCTTGTGTAAAAATTCCAACTACACAAATAGTTATAGCAGTTTTAGTGCAAGCTGGTCTGAAATTTTCTAGGCTGAAAATAGCTTCTTTTGAGATATCCATCTTTCTAGCACCTAGGACTTTGATGAGTGATTCAATTTTGTTCAAGACCTATTTCTAAGAGTCTAGGGACATATGGAGATGATAAATTTCAAGTGCATTGTGTCCTAGAGTCATTTACCAAATTATGACAACAAAGGCTTTAAAGATGAAATATTAAGTTCAATGCCTTTTCCTTTTCTTTCTAGACACCAAAGTAAATCTTATGATTAATGTGCATGATCCTAGCATTTCTAGCTTAAGTTGTGAGTTCTTTCAAAGCTTATACAAGCTTGAACTAACCCTTTCTTAGCAAAGACTTCATATGACAATATCTATCAATGAAGTGCAAAGTCTAGTACTAAGGATATAGGAATATGTGAATGATGATAATATGCATGATCCTATAGAGATGAGCTTCAAATGGATTCATAAATACTTTGACATTGAATCCAAAACACTCACCATCCTATCTATCCCTTTTCTTCATGCATTGTCCATGATCGTTTAGGCTTGAGGTAGTATTGCTTTCTTTCTTCCTTTGAGTTGCTTTCTTGCTCATTGAAGTTCAAGCTATCTTTGGACATTGCATTTTGTTCCTTGCAACTTCAGGTCTTCATTGTATCCATTTCTTTCCTTGATGTGATCTTGAATAATGGAATACTTTGAATGATCTTTAGTGCTTCATTGAGGTCATTCTTTGAATGTGAATAATCTATATAACACTCAATGTAAACATTAGTCCTTAAACACCATTAATGGTTTGTTATCATCAAAACACCTATATTGTCATTGGATGAAATCCTTAAGGTCAACAATCTCCCCCTTTTTGATGATGACAAAACATTGATGTGTTCATAAGCAAATGGAGTAGCATTTGAAAAATGCTCCCCCTATCAAAGTGCATTCATTGAACATGGTATGCTTGATATATCACTATAAAATGGCATACTTGATATATCATAAATCATTTTAGATCATTTAACACATCACATTTCTCTCCCCCTTTGGCATCTCAAAAAGGTGGGAGGTCAAGACATCTTCTTTTAGTATTGATCATTTAGTATAGAGAATTGACATGGTGACGTAATGATAATCAAGAAATGGCAATAGTAGTTGTTACTATAATATGTTTTAGGATGAAACATATAAGCAATTATATCATAAGAGGCCAATTTCATTGACAACATGAGTTCGAATCATCATTTAAGGTTCATGTCATATACAAAAGTATACATAATCAAACGTGAAACAAAAATGAAGCATAAACTAGAATAAGCCTAAAGGCAAACAACCTTTTAGAGGCAAAATTTTAGAACTCAAGACTACTTCTACCCTAATATATTTCTTCACATTTGATATCCTCAAGAAAGAGGGAAATATCATCAAAATCATGAAAGTTCATAGGAATGAATATAATGACCAATAAGTCATTTTAAGACATGTTTAACAAAAAAAGGTAAGTCCTTTAAGCTGAGTATAACATGTAATGTTTATACATAAGAGATTATTGATAATCTCCCCCTATGAACATGCTCCCATCATATATTATTCAATGATTGTCCAACTAATGGAACAATGAACCAATGACATAACGTGATAAGATAGAGAGTTGAATCATGCTAGCAAATTCAAATCACATAATCCAAAACAAGCCACTTTTTATGAAAATCTTCATATAAACATTTTAAGATGAGTATCATGATGAGATTATCATAATAAATAATTATGCCTAAGGATAATCATAATTATGCCAATTGTTATCAAGAATGACCCATAATACCTACTATGATGTAGATTTTCATAGTATAAGAGCAAAGTAAAAAAAATAACAAAAAAATTGGTTTCTCTAGCAAGCCATTATAGAATATTCACCAATGATTGATTAAAGTGATGAAAACTTCAACAATTTTAAGGAATGCATTATAAATTCCTATTCTTACTTCTCATGAAATGGCTCTTCAAAGAAGATTTTATCCTTGAGGATCTTAACAGAGGACTTATTTGATTTCTCATTATCTCAAGTCCATATAAACATTTTTAAGTCTGAAAATCCTCATTTCATATATGCAAGAAGTGATACCAATAAAATGTAGATACGCAATTAGAATCACAAAAGCATATAAAGTCAATAGAACCTTGCAACACACTGCCCAAATGAACCATAAACAACTCATGTTTATAACTTATTCAAAGATAAATTCAAAACAGATGGGGTTTGATAATAAACTTTATGCAATATGTCTCTAAAATTTAATCTATATATAATGAATTAATAGATTAAACAAAAGACACATGGTAGTTTCTGCATAAATACTAGAAAATGGAATTTTCAAAAGGTAATTGAAACCATAGATTAAGCAATTCTCATTAGAATGAGTCTTTTACATGTGAGAGAGAAAAGCTACAGTGTGTACCAAGGTTTAGTGAATGATGGATTAAAAGTGATGAATTTTGAAAATTAATCACTGAAGGTTCATCTAAAAAGCTAGAACACAAGAACTTTAAAGGAAATTTGATGAAAGAAACTTACTTGTGAAGATGCCCAAGAAAGATGAAATGTTGCTTAGCCAAAATGCTCTCTGGAATGAAGATGGTTTATTTAAAAAAAAAAAAAACTATTGCCGAGGTATTAAAATGAGGGACAATGGATTGGAGCCGGCTCATGGGAAATTGGAGCCGGCTCAAGAGCTTTTTGGAGCCGGCTCTTGATGAGTTTTGAGAGATCCCGAGAGTTTGGACATGGATGCAGGTTTTGGGGAGCCGGCTCATGAAATTTTGTGATCCGGCTCAAGAGATACCGAGAGTTAGAATTTGTGATTTTCTTGGATGCAGGTTGGAGAGGCGGCTCTTGAATGAGATGATCCGGCTCTTGTTTTCTATAGAGGCGGCTCTTATTTAGATTGGAGCCGGCTCTGCTGCTGCTACTTCACTGCATGACATTCTGCTCTATGATCATTCCAATTTCTCTTATGAGTAGACAGAATCTCTCCTCTTGGAGTGGTTTTGTGAAGATGTCAGCTAATTGCTTTTCAGTAGTCACAAAAATAAGATCAATATCACCCTTAGAAACATGATCCCTAAGAAAATGGTATCTAATTTCTA